CCACGTCTGTTTTCTCTTCTCAGGTCAATTTTATTCTCTTGTGCTTTTGCAACACACCCTGAAGACTTCCTCCCACACAGCTGATTGGACTCTCCGGTGTACGTTTTGCTCTTTGCGGTTTCCAGGACGTACCGGTTTTCATCCTGCCGGTTTTCATCCTGCCGTGACACCATTTCATTCCTACAACGGTTTCCTAACGGGCCACTGCGCCAGCTATTTTCTCTCTCGTTTCACCTATTTTTTTAAAATTTCCTCGACAGTGGAAAGGAGCTGCCATCCTCCACAGATGTCATTGAATTACTTGTCATTAATCCTGTTATTTTCAGAAACATACTCTCACTTGTATTGAACTTTCATGACTGTCTTTCTGTGAAGGAGAAAACCGCGTCACAGAGCACCAAGTCAGTCAGCTGCCAAGGTCAAAACGGTCCAAAGTGCCCGGCCAGTGGGCCTCCCTATCCAGGGGAAGAACATCGCACTATACTGCACCGGGTCCCTCGACGGAGTCCCTAATTCACCGCTGAGACGCCGCGATGCGGTATCGCAGACCGCTGTGATGCAGTTGCCGGTAACAAGCAGTTAGTGGACCACGGGATGCGGTGGCTGTTTCCACAGATGGCTCTGCTCATAAAACCAGACGTAATGAATGTTCAGACCCAGCTTTCAGAGACATCATGACTCTTCCCCATAAACTACGGCAATTAAGTGTGTGACAAACTCCCTATAATTAAGGGATGAATCGCTGACATAAAAATAAAGAATGCCCGCATGCTGTAATTACTCTGTACCTTACTGTTTATCACACATGTGCTTTGAACACACGAGGTTACATAAGCACTTAACTTCTAAAAGCAGCCTTTTGTGTCCTCTACACAGAACTGACAACCAGAAAACGGCAGCCTGGCGTCAAAATGCTGAGTGCGTGGCCGCGCGCGGCCACACAGGACCCGGCCCCGCTCCCTTCCTCCCCTGGGAGGGCCAGCCGCAGGGGTCTCCCGCTATCACTTCTGAAGATCAAACCTTGGGAAGACGTTTGCATCTTCTTCTTTTCCCGCTGTGAACTGTGATGAAAAGCCATCCATTTCCTCCGAATATTCCTTAGTTTTCCTTATTGCCAAACGAAGAGAAAGGGGCTGTGGGCGCCCCTGGAGTGGTGGCCTGCGGCGGGGGCGGGCGCGGGGTGGGCGGGGAGCACAGGCACCCGTGGCTGCCCTGGCGGAGGGCAGGGGAGCCTGGCGCGTGTCTCCAGCGAGGAGTGCGGCGGCGCCGAGGCCCTTGGCCCGGTGGCGCCTGTGGGGAGTGGGCCACCAGCTGTGTGGGCTGGCTTCTGCCTGGAAGCAGGAAGGACAAGCCTTGAGGGCAGAATCGGGCTCAGCAGGGGTGCCCCAGGGTGCTGGGAGGGTGGGGGTTGCGGGGGAGAAGCCCGCCCTTTTATTTCCCAACTACCAGAGAGAAGACAAAGCACGTAAATTTGTCCTAACAAAGAAATTAATGAAGGAAGGAGTCAATAAACACGGATCTCTTGCAATCTAAAGATTCTAATAGAATATTTTCTTTGCTCTCACTGTCTATTATTTTGTTGATTGATTGATTGATTGATTTGAGAGAGAGAGAGTGAGAGGCACCAGTTCGTTGTTCCACTCATTCATGCATTTACTGGTTGATTCCTGCATGTGCCCGACCAGGGATCGAACCTGCAGTCCTGGGACATCAGGATGACACTCTAAACAACTGACCTACCCAGCCAGTTACCATCTACTATTTTATTTTGTTTTTCCGATGACTGTACCATGCATACTTTGACTGACTTTTTAAAATTTAATCTTTATTTTTTTACATGAGCCTTTGGTCCCCTCCTGCCCCTCCCCCGCAATCCCCACGCTGTTGTCCCCGTCCCTGAGTCCTTTGTCCTTTTTGCTCAGTCCCTCCGCCCCATAACCTCCCCACCATCTGTTATTTTAAAACTCACTGTAAATAAAAATGAATTAACATATATTCAACAAGAATTTTTAAATCATTTAATATATAGAATGATAGAATTGTATATAAATATTTGGCAATGCTGGGTGACTACAAAAGAACCTTATGCACAAAAATGTCAAAAAATAGAAGACTGTGACTACTGTTCAGGTTAATTTCAGAGATAGGTGAAGCGACCAATTTCTTCAAAAAAATGTTTAAAGTCTCCTCCAAAAGTCTACTGCTTTATATCTTTATTTTACAGTTAAGAAGATCTAATTTTATGCATATCATTCATTTTTTAAATATAGTTTATCCCACCGGCGTGTACCTTGAAACATTACACTGAAATGTTCTCTGCTGTGGATCAGTGATGTAGACTTTTGCGAACCGCTCCACCACATGCAAGTTCTGATTTCTAAGCTGCACAGCAGGAAAATTGAGTGGCACAGGGTGTCAGCGAAGCCACTGTAGAAAAGGGCAGAGAGCAGCCCACTGGTCCCAAGAGGGGAGGGCTTATTTCCCTCCCGGAGCCACCGAGACTTCGGGCTGCTCCGCGAGCTCATCCAGGAGTCCAGGCTGTGAGGTGAACGGTTGCCGTTAAAAACTACAGGTCGCTGCAGTTGTTACCCTGTCTGTCCAGTGAGAAGGGTAGGGAAAATCCAGGGCAAGAGGCTTCAGAGAGACGAACCCCTCTGGACAGTCACTGGCCTGAACTCGGTTGCACAGGCGCCCCTAAGTGCCGTGGATACGGGGGGGCGTAGACTCAGCAACTGCCCCCCTTCAGTTGCACGGGGGTGGGGGCAGCCCAGGGGCGGCTGACGCGGGCCTGGGGATTTGGTTGCGAAAAGGAAGGAGAGGAGAAGGGAGACTGGTGGGCTACCAGCCGTCTTTGCCACTCTAATGACACCCAGCTTTAAAACTTGTAAGAAATCACATCATAGGCCTCGGCCAGGTAGCTCAGTTGGTTGGAGCACCGTCTCTATTCACCAAGGTTGTGGGTTCAATCCCCGGTCAGGGCACATACAAGGATCAACCAATGAATGCATCAGTAAGTGGAACAACAATCAATGTCTCTCTCTAAAATCAATACATTAAAAAAGAAAGCAATGAAATTATCCTCGTAGAGCACAGGAGTATTTGGGGGGAGTTTCATAAGCCATCAGCGCGGTGCTAGGCACATACTGACTGATCATAAACGGAAGCGGTCCTCCTCCTCCTCCTCGTCACCGCCATCTAGTACCCCCGCCCTCACCCGAATGCTCGCATCCCTCCACAGTGTCACGGATGGCGGCCTTCTAGCTCTTCTTGAATCTCCACGGTCGGAGGAAATGCCACTGCTCTGGAGGCAGCCACTCCACGTGCAGCAGGTTTCCACCTCCTCCCAGACGTCATTTTTCTCCTTGCACTTTCTGCGCTCCCACGCTCACTGTGACCTGCGAGGCCCCGCATCCCTCTGCCACAGGTCGGTCCTTCGGACCCTGATGGGACGTTACTGCTGCCCCCGCGAGTTCTTGTCCTCTGTTCGTGGCGTGTCCCTCCCACAGCCTCTCGCAATCCAGGACTCACCCATTCATTCACTTAACACATATCTATCGAGCGCTGACTATTCTATTTTATCAACGTCCACCTTAAAAATATGTCACCAAAGGTGTGCACAGCCTCCCACGAGGGTCTGACTTAACATCCTAAGTGGGCTTCGCGTTCACCGACTCTCGGTGGCCGTATCACCCGTTCACATGCACTGGGTGGTCCCACGGTGCCACGGAGCCTTTCCACTGGTGCAGTCTGCCTGGACGTATCCCCCCTGCACGAACTTTTTACAAATCCAGATCTACAACATTTCCTTTATTTCTCGTTCATTAACTGTGATCTTACCGTAATCTCTCAAGAACTTTTTATTCTTGCATCCAGTGTGTTAATTGTCCCTCACAGAGTCACGCCATCGAAACCCCCGATGAGCATGCCATTGACGCTTCACCTAAGACGCTGATCAGAACGTGCACACAGGCAGCGCTGAGGAGAGGCCTGTCGTGACCGCCTGAGCAAGCACTTCCCCAGTTACCGAGGTGCCTGAGTGCCCCAGCACTTACGGAATAGGCAGCTCACAGAAGTCTCATTAAATACGTGGTTTCTGTACTCACTGCCACGCCCAGGGAGGCCTTGACTGCCTGCCGAAGTGCTAGCTGGTCCGGCTCCGTCCAGCCCCACCTGACCCTCGGGGCCTCCCGGATTAGAACCGGCGTTTTCCTGCTGAGGGTCTTTATGCATTAAGATTCCACAAATATTGACCAAGCCCTGATTTTGTGCCAGGTGTTATATTAAGCAGTTCCTCTTACATAGTTGACCCTTGAACAACGTGGGGGTTAGAGGCTCTGACCCCCGTGCAGTCAAAAGGTACAGATAGCTTTAGACTCCCCAGAAACTTAATTACCAATAGCCTACTGAGGACCGGAAGCTTCACCCATCACATGACAGTCGATGAACACATATTTTGTATGCTATATGTATTATACACTACATTCTTACCATCCAGGAAGCTAGAGAAAAGAAAGTGCTACTAAGAAAATCACAGAAAGAGAAAATACATTTACCGTATTTATTGAAAAAATCTGCACATAAATGGACCTGTGCAGCTGAAATCTGTCTTGTTCAAGAGTCAGCTGGAAATGGAATGTGGGAGAAATGGAACGTATTTTATTAAAAGAACACATATATTCTCGAGCATAACTATTGCATTCTTTTGCCTTTGCATAAGACCACTGCACAGCCTGCCTCTTCTAGAAGCTACGGCAGAGCACAGAACATGCTCCAGGGACAGGCATTCGGCCTTTCCTGGGCGGGGTTCAAAGACCTAGTTCACATGTGATCTACCTTTTGCTGAGACGATGTCATCCGTGAACTAAACTCTTGCTAAACACCACTGAGACTGCAGCTCGTTTCAGCGCATCGAAAATGACGGCGCGGGGACACTCGGGAAGAATTAATTACTCCTTGGCTCCGGGGAACGATCACATTTCAGAGTTTAAATTATGCATCACCTGTACAGACGTCACCTTTTCCAGGGGGCTTCCCACCCGGGGAATGCTGATCATCGGCGCGTGCGCCAGACCGTCCACGTGCACGCGCTCCTGTTCGGGCTGCCTCCCTTTGAAATTGTTCACCACGCACACGACCTAGGATTTCAGAAAAGATTACAGTTAATAGCAAAGCCACACGCTCTACGGCGACAATCTCTGTGAGTAGCTCAATGAATCTAATAATAATAAAGTATTACAATTATTTAAATATTGAATGTACATAACTTTACCCAGATTTATCTTGTATAAATTTAAAAGGTATTCAGTGCATGTGTGTTCAAGAAAATTCATCAATTCATATGTAGCTCCGTTAATGATGACAATTTTATTATTCCAAAATGTTTATTGAATGTTCATCAAAAAAAGTCAATGCTCAAATAAATCCAAAAATAACATCATAACCTTATAAAAATTCATAGCAAGCTAACCTTACCCCAGCGTGGCTTGACCTACAACTTAATTTAAATGCTAATTATTTTCATTGCTTCAAGGTCTTCATTGAATTCATAATAAACCCACCACAAGGGCACTCTGTAATTAGTAACATCCACTTAATTAACACAGCTCATTGTCTCCTATTGTATCCCATATATACTTGGCATTTCAACAATAGCTTACCGCATCTATTACTAAAATAGAAGACCATTTTTTACAAAAAAGGGAATTGACCCTTTTCCACTTGATTATTCCCTGGCGGTGACGAACTTGAGCTGAACCAGAGTTTCTCCTCTAGAGCGTGCGCAAATAAAGTTCGGGAACCGTTGGGAAGGCACGTTCCCAAGCCCTCCCCTACCAACTGTAGTTTCGTAGCTGAACAACCGGCCTAGGAGTTGCACGTCTTAAAAAAATTTTTTTTCTCTGCTTAATCCCTTCACTGTTTTTACCCGGCCCCCATACCTTCTCCCCTCTGAGAGCCGCCAGCCTGTTCTCTGTATTTATGAGTCTGTGTCTCTTTTGTTTTTCAGTTTATTTTGTTCATTAGAGTCTACACATGAGAGAGATCATATTGTATTTGTCTTTTCTCCGACTGGCTTATTTTGCTTAGCATAATACCCTCCAGGTCCATCCACATGACTGCAAAAGGTAAGAATTCCTTCTTTTTAACGGCTGAGTAGTAGTATGTTGAGTATCCACTCATCCACTGATGGGCACTTGGGTTACTTCCAAATCGTGCCTATTGTAAATAATCTGCAATGAACATGGGGTGCATATATTCTCTCAGATTAGTGTTTTGGGTTTCTAAGATATATTCCCACAAGTGGAACTGCTGAGTCATAAGGCAGTTACATTTTTAATTTTTTGAGGTATAAGAGTTGGTACTTTAAATATGCATTCTAGAAGCTTCTGATGCAGGTGGATCATACCTTGAGAAATAGTAAACTAAACAGCACAGGAAAACTACCTGTTATTATTTGCTTATATTAACTAAGGGTATGATATTCTTGAGCCTTCTTTTTCTGGGTTTTGTATTCTATTATTAAATTAAAATCCAGCACTCACTTGCAGTTAAAACTTAGCATTCATTTTTTAAAAAAATAAATGCATAATATATAATTATACATTTATATTGTATATTTTCACAAATGTTCCATTGGAAAGCCTTTTCTTTAGTAGGTCTCATTAATGAATATTTTCAAAGGCCAATTAGATCTTGGTTACTCTGCAGTTTTTAAATAAAAGGTATCAATCTGCAAAATAATAACACATACTGTGAGACATTAGCATAGAAAAATATTTCCTTGCCAATTGTTATAGATTTAATATCCTGCACGCCCTTGGAGAATGATAGCTCAGAAGCACAGGTCCAAGCGTGGTAATTCACACTTCACCTTTATCATCACCAGCCAGGTCTTCAAAGTCGGGGAAGGAAGGGCGTGGGGATAGACATGTAAAACTGCAATGACATCTCTGTGGGGGACAGGCACTGATTGCCCTAGAGCGGGCTTGGCTTATTTTGTTGTTGATTGGTTGGTTTTTGTGCTCACGTGAACCTGTGATTCTTTTCATGATAGCACTATTTCTGTGTGAAATTATAACACTAAGGTTGACGTGAGTCTTTCCCGGGAAGCGGGCTGTCTCTCCTCCTCGCTCACCGTCGAGGTGACTGCAGGCACACGCCCACAGGCTGGACATTTTAATTCTCCGAAGATTGAAGGAATATAAAGCAGCTGTCCCTGAAAATGTTCTACCATCACACTAGTGACTTCTGGGCACACCATTACACCCTCTCCCCAAAGCAACACTGCCCCAACTACACGTGTATTTGTTCATACTTCCAAAAGTGGTGATGAATTAAACTCGTCCACTTGTGATCATTTTCCTTCTTCCTCTGTTGCATGGGGTCAAGTGCACGGGCTTTGGGATCCAGGAGGCCTGGGCCTGAACACTGGGCGCTCTTATTTACTGACTGTAGGAGCTACTTAACAAAGCTGGACCCGTTTCTTTTATTTGCAAAATGAAGACGGCAGCTCCATCTCGGCGCGCTGTTGTCAGCATTAATTGAGTTGATGTAATAAAGAGTTCTTAAAAAAACTCATTATGTTCCATATGATAACATGACAAGCCACTGCTGTCGCTCGGCAAACTTGAACTACGCCTCCCAACGCTGTAATACACGCCTTTCCTGGAAGTGTTTTCAGAAATGCATTTGTATAAAATAATAGTAATTGGTCCTCAACCTTGGTTCAACTAGAACTTGTTTAGTATTTTTGTAGCCCTGGGGATCCTGTTCTCTAAGTTCAAGGGCTATGCACAGGGGACAAGAGTGTTCGACTCGGTGCAGAACAGAATTCCTTGTTAGTTTGGAACAGGCTGGACTTCCAGTGCCGAGGGAACCCAGGAAAAATGGGAAAGCCAGGTAATTGGGGACACTTCCTGGGGAAGCTGGGACTTGTCTCAAAAAATGTCAAGTGCATCAAAGACGTGAATACAGTCATCAAAGACAAGGACCATGGTGACCCCCATCTTTTATACACCGCACACTTGACCGCACGTAGTACCTATGTGACTTCACGGAGCCCCCAGGAGAGCTCTGGGAAGTAAATAAAATGGTTTCTCATTCATCCGTCCACCCGTCCGTCCACCCGTCCATCCACCCATCTATCCAATATTTCCTGAGACCCTCCTAGGCACCAGCCCCCATCCTGGAACTGCGAACACGCGGTGAAGAAAACAAAGACGCGCCTTCTCCACGAGCAGCTCACATCCTGGGGGGTTTGGCAGCAAAAACGCACACGAACCTCGGAGGTATCAACAGCGCAATGTGCTCTGGAGAAGTGAACAGGGTGAGGAAGGGCATCCTGCGGTGAGGGGTGGGGGTGGCCATTTCAAATTTAGGCTGTTCAGGGACAGCCTCATGATTCAGGAGCAGTCGGGGGCTTGTTCAAGGTCTCACGTCCAACGTGTGGCCACAGCAGGACCCCAGCCTAGGTCTGTCGGAGCCCTGGGCCCTGGTTTTGCTCCCTGCCACACGCAGAGGACAGACTTCCCCGCTGGGGCAAATGCGTGGGCTGGAGAGAGCCCGGCTGCGAGCAGGAACGCTGAGTGGCTGGATCCGAGCGCAGGCTTTCCACGGAAAGGACAGAGGCAGGAGCTCGGCGAGGAAGGCGCAGCCCGATGACTGAGCAGCCCGGGGGGCCACGGAAGTGTCGGGTTTAAAGCAGCAGGAAGGACGTTTGTTGTTGTTGTTTGTCTTGGTATTAGCAACGACTTGTTTCCCTGTGTCTAGAAGAAGAGGAGGCGGCACTGGGAGGAGAGTCTGAAGAGCCGCGGCAGCTAAGAGCCTGTGGGTGCCACCGAGGGAAGAGGCACTGGTCTGATGTGATAGGTTGCAGCCGCAACGGCAAAGAAAGAGGACACGGAGGGAACGGTTTTGCAGCGGGGACGCGCTGGACTGGCTGGGTCACTGGGTGTGGGAGGGGGACTGGGAGAATGAGTCAAAGACAAACGCCAGACGCGGGTCCGGCTGTGGGGGCTGCGGGCGCCTGTGGCCGAGACACGGAGGCCTGGCACAGGCTCGTCCGTGGGGTGGTTCGGACTCGCCGCAGACGCCCGTGCGCCCCGCAAGGCGGCTGGAAACCGCCCGGGATGCTGCAAGCAGAGGCGGAGTCGGCGCTCAGAACGGTCCTTCTACTCAGCCGCCGGGATGGGAAACCCGCCCGGGGTCGTCGGGGATGGCTCTCCGTCCGTGCGTCGGCTCCAGCTCAGTCGGTGCCAGCGCCAGCGCCCACCTGCTGAGCCGCCCGACACCCGCCCTCCCGGCGGCCCGAGCCCCACGCGCTCCATCTCACCTCCCGGGCTCCGTGTCACCCATCCCCTCCACCCTCACCGGGTGTCTCACCCTCCAGCAAACCTACTGTCGAAGCACAAACCCTGTCGTGGGGGCAAAGGGACAGGAGGGAAATGATCTGGGACGATGGAACAGGGGCCTGTCCTCGGCGGGCGCATCCCTGCACGGAGGCTGCTTCCTTGAACTGCATGAATCCTCCCGGTGGCCCTCCCGGGAGGCCGCCGCGTGCCTCGCGTAAAGGGGGCGGAACGAGGCGCAGGAAGGTCGGGCCAGCTGCCCGGTGGTCCAAGCTGAGCGAGCACAAGAAGCTGGCGCCAAGCCGGCTGCTGTTCTCTTTCGCCTCGGCCGAGCCCTGCCAGCGGCCCTCCAAGCGCCTCCGTTTCTCGACAGAAGCCCAGGCCACTCTCTTAACACACAGGCCATCCCAGGGACTCCCCTGGGCTTCTCCGGACCCCCACTGCCACTCGGGCTGGACAACAGGTGCCCCTGCGGGACACCCCACGCCTCGCCGGCACGCTGCACCCGGGCGCAGAGCACGGGAGGCGGGGCATCCGTGACGGTTGCGGGGCGCGTTTCATTCCGCTCCGAGCACGGTGCTCCCTGCGCTTGTCCCTACGCCGCAGCCTAGACCTCCCTGCCTGCTGCGCCAGCTTTTCCAGCTCCTACCTCACCTCCTCTTTCTGATTTGCCCCTCGTCCCCACGGAGTGGGTCTCGTGAGTGTGCATATACCTGTGTCTATCTTGTTGCAATATTGTGATTTATAACAAGAATGTGTTGGGTCATGTAGATCAACGATGCATTTCTCATGTTGACTTGGTCTTTGTCCCTGCTTCTGACCCAGAGCTTCCAGACCCCTGGATTCCCTGTAGCGAGAGCAACACAGGTGTGTCCTGTTAAGTTAACAAGGCGGCCTTTGGGCCCAAGGACTTGGGCTGGTTGCCAGGAGACTCAACCACGTGATCAGCCAGACCTGAAGGAGGGGAGAGGGGGCGGGAGGCTGCCTCTGTAGCCAAGGGGCCGTGATATAACCCATCGGTAAAAACCCAAAAGGAGAGGGTTCCAGGAGCTTCCGGGTTGGCGAGCGCCCAGAGGGGGCCCGGAGGCCCGCCCGCTGCCCCCGCCTCACCCTGCGCACTCCTTCCGTGTGGCCGGCCCTGAGTCCCCTTTACAGCGCCCGGGTCATGCAGGGACTGACGGGCCTTTCCTGAGCCATTCGAGCAAACTAACTGAACCCAAGGAGCAGGCTGTAGGAACCCCTGACTTCCAATGCGTCGGTAGAAGTGCTGGCAACGACCAGACTCGAGACCGGTGTGTGGAGTCCCCGCAGGGGTCCCTGAAACCTCCAGCCTGGCCCTGGTCCGCCGGGGGCACCAGGGGTGACCGGCCCTGACCGGGCGTCTGAGGGGGACACCGCCCGTGGGGTGAGCCCTGTGGGGCCCTGACGCCGCCCCGGGGCCGATGGCATCAGGACGGGGTTGAATTCTCGGACACCTGCTGCCCTCGGAGGGTCAGTGGTGGCTCGGAGAAGCCGCGCCGGCGGGCACTCATGGGGGCGGGTCCGCCCAAACTGCGTCTACTCAAGTACGCAGACTGCACCTTTTTCGTGGATTTATTCCCGGCCGCAGGGTTACCACACGGGCTCTATAAATGCTCATTTTATGAAGAACAGGAGGGAATGTCCCGGGGACTAACCTGTCGTCTGGATCACGGTCTGACCTTCAAACCCGACTGCCCTCGGTCCAGTTTATCGGGGTCCCCGGGCGTCCCCGTCTTGCCCGGCACCGCGCCCGGCACCGGCGGCCCCCCACCCTTCAGGGGCCGTGATTGAAGCCCCCGAGCCTCGTTCCGCTGTCACTGAGGCGAAGCATCGCTGCCCTGCGGCCTGTCCTTACGGTCATTTTCTGGGGAGGCAGGAATGTCCTGAACACGTAAGTGCGGCGGGAGGGTCTGGGGCCCGAGGATCCAGCCCCCCCCCGCCCCCTCGTGGTTCGCCCACTGGGATGCAACTGGGAAGACATGAGGGTTCTGGGCCTGGCGTGGCAAGGTGTCAAGACGGTCGCCGAGGCAAAGGGAGGTGGCAGCAGCCCCAGCAGCCAGGCAGCCAGCGAGCCTGACGAGACTCCGGAGAGGCTGCTCTGGGCCCGGGGCTGACAGCGGCTCCCTCGGCCACATTTGCTCTGAGATTTTGACTTGGGTCTGCTCTTCACCTTGCCTATGGGTATTTTCTTCGGATTTCTGCACGGTGTCTTTTGTTTTGTTTTTGTTTTGTTATGGGAACCCGCCTCCGCTGTGGGAAGTGAAAACAGGCGGAGGTTTCGGCCCCAGCCTGGGCCCCTACAGGAGGCCGTAGGGCGTCTCAGGGGCGGGGCTCGGCCTCCCAGGGACCTTGGGACTCAGAGGGAGTGACTCTGGGCATACGCCGGGGATGAGGACCAGTCGCCTCTTTACACAGGAGGCGCTAGGAGGTAAACCTATTTAAAATGCCCGGCACAAGGACTGCGCTCAAATCTTCCGTACCTGGGAAGGTTCACAAAAGTTTCTGCTCATAGGTATGAGTGAAGGCGGCAGAGGAAGCGATGCTGACTGTGAGAAGCAATTTAAATGTAACCAAGAAGGAACTAGAGTGTGTCTTATAATGCGTCCCTGCAAAAGGATGTTTTGATACAGAGTCTACAGAGATTTTCCATCTGGGTAAAAAGGTGTCTATACTCATACTTCCCATGGACCAGTGCATTCTAAAGCCAGGCTAACACCTGCCAACCGCCAAAAGCTGTGGAAATGTTCAAAGGCGACCTTAGAATGAGAGTCGAGGTGGCCTGCTTGCTTGTCAGAAGCCACTGCTGCCCGCCACTGCTTGGCCACCTCTGCTTGGGGACGGTATTGTCTGGGAGCACGTGGGTTCTTAGTTACTGGAGGGAAACAGGTCATGTCACGAGGAGGGCTACCTGTTGGCGGGCGCTGTGGCTGGGACTGTGCGGAGGTGCTCACGTTCTCCGGGTGCTCGCATCCTCTAGCTGCTCCGTGATGCAAAGTGCCCTGAAGGAACTTTAAAAATACCCAAGCACCCCAGGCCTAAAACCTGTCCAGGGGGGAAATGGGTGTTTTTAGCCATTTTATAGGAAAATATGTTATTCCCATTTTCACCCCCACACCTGACGTTAGGCAGAACAAAAATGAGGGAAGAGGAAGAGATAAATGTCTTAGAATACACAGGTGGTCATTTAATATACTGCATTTAGACAAAGCGTTCACATGTGTATTTTCTTACAGGTGACTCATTAAAAACCCAGCACACTCTCATAAATGCGTACTTACCAGAAATACCGCTATGGATATTCCAACCAGAAAGCCTGCTATCACGTCTGACCAGTGATTTCGGTATTCCGCCACTCTGTTGAGTCCAGTGAGGAAGGCCAAGCACATTAAGCCCAAGCACAGGACCGGCTTCGCGAGTCTTGTCCCTTTGGCTTTGATCGTGTTGGTTATGTACATCTGAAATGACAAATGACAAACATGGCTTTTCACCAAGGCACTTCCTTGATAGACGCCATAGAGACGGGTCATGTGCACATGTACACTTTATTTATAGATATTTATGCCTACAGTGATCAGTGAGTAACTGCATTTCATCCATTTTTGAGGAACGTTTCTTGAAAGTGGAATTTAAGTGGAGTGATTACTTAATTTTACTTACCTGAAATTTACTGATGGACTATTCTTATTATTAATCATTTAGGAACACTGAGCAAAGCCATTCCAAGTGACCTTTTCCTAAACATCCCATGTTTTTGCTTTATACGAATGTACCCTTCTGATCAATGTGTTAACAGGGGAACACTGAGGAAGACGTCTCCTTCACGATTACGGTTTATACGCCCTTTGAGAGGCTGCAGACTCGATCGAACCAGAACGCGTGAGTACAGCCACAGACCACAGCACAGAGACGGGTACTAAGCAATGCCGACGTTTGTTTTTATGTGGCTCCCTGAGATGGTGAAATTAACTACGTTTTACTGGCCACAACTAGGACAACTTAAAAACTTAATTACAAACAGGGAAATGTCAGCTAAATATGAAACAACACAACGAATAGACACATCGATTTTCGGTATGTTCGCCTACGTGGAAAGGACATAGTGTGAGCTGACTGCACTGACTAAGCATCTTCAAGCTGAGACCCTACGCTCAAGAGCAGCCTGGTCCTCCCCCTAAGCTGATTCGTCCTGCAGTGCGATAGCTTATTATTTAAATCTTGTTACTACACAGGCAAATTGGTTGACTGCAAGAGGAAAGAAAGGTCAGCTGTTATTATTTCAAGTCATTAGCAACGTGATTATAAAAGGGATGGCTTGGACAATGCACTGCGTTTTTACATGTCTGAGTCAGGATGCATCTGATACTGACAACATTCGGGGTCCAGGGGAAGTAACACCTGCTTGAGTGTGGTCCACAGGGCACGTGACTGTCTTACACAAGATGGATGGCAATTTGAACATTTCACCTCAAATGTCATAGGGTGTGCTTGAGTGTGACATCGTAACATCATAGAGGGACATGCTTATGATTTTGTAATGCAAGCTTTTGTAATAAGAATGGGGCATTATTCGTGCTGGACCCTGCATATTCAGAAAAAGGGTTAGCGATGCATAAAATCACTTGCCTATTGTCTGCATTGAACAAAAAAAAATACATTTTCAGCCCTGGCCACATAACTCAGTTGGTTAGAGCTTCATTCTGATACACCAAGGTTGCGGGTTTGATCCACGGTCAGGGCACATGCAAGAATCAACTGGTGAAGGCATCAATAAGTGGAACAACAAATCGATGTCTCTGTCTCTCTCTCCCTCTCTCCATCTTTCCCTCCCTCCCTTCCTCTCTCTCTCTTTCTAATCAATACATTTAAAAAAAATACATTTGCCTAAGAGCAAACCAAAGTGAATGCTTAAGTTCTTAATTCATAGCAGCCATTTTAGAATGCTATGAAATTCAGTTAATTATCTTCTCTGGGTTTCCCCCCCACTTCTGGGCAAAGCTTGCAGCCCTGTTAGCTGCCAAAGAGGCTGTGTGAATATTTAAACAGCCCACGTGATACAAAGCTTCTATCCAGCCAAGTTCTAGCCAATCTATTGCAGGTCCCAATACTCGAGGGAAAAAAAAAAAAAAAAAAAGAACGGACCAGCTGGCTCGTCTGCATCTGGGCCCGTGACCTTAGAAGCGAGGTCTGGGCACACTCAGCCTGAGCTGGGAAGAGCTGAACAATTTCCGTTCTGGAACATCCGCACACGGGAGAGGGAAAGAGAGGTGAGAAAGAGAAACGACGCGTTTGCCATTCGGAGAACGTGTTAAGAGCCGTTCCCACACGAATAACGAGGCAAGGGCATCACACCATTTCAGGTCTGCAGGATGCATCAAGCACTGCGACTCAGCTCGTGCTCATGAGCTGGGGGTGGGGGGGGTCGGGGGGTGGAAGTGGGGCTGCCTGGGAGATTTTCTTTCACACAGCTCTCAGGCGGACTCCCGATTTCCCACCTTGGCATTTCCTCACGTCCATCAGAACGCTCAAGGCTTCCTATCCTTTATTAGGACAAAATAAATACGAACTGATAACCGAGTACTATTAATACTGCTAATATTCATTAGCGCTGTGATTTAATGAGCAACCAGTGTTCAAGGCCGCGTTCTAAGCATGTCACGTTGATTATCCTACAACGTTCTCAACGTGACTGTCACCTTCACCGTACAGATGAACAACAACATCGAGACAGCGCTTAGCATGAAGAACGTACAAGTTGATTTTGGGAGCTGCACCGCTGAGACAGAACGGTCTTGGTAACCTGACCTTCCCTTCTTTTTTTCTTCCCTGATTTCTGGCCTGGAGGACATGGCCAATGAGCATGAGCTGAGCATCAGCAGATGCCAGGGAGCTGAAAGGAGAGAGGAGAACGAGGGCTGCCATGGAAACGCGGGGCGGGGCGAGGCGCCAGCGTTCTGTGCGGTTGGTGAGAAGGAGGAAGTGGTCTGTGCGGCTCTGGAAGCGTCTGCCTCTCCCTCCCCCCGCCGAAGGCCGTCTGGGGTGTGCCCGGCCCTCCCCCGGGAACTGGGGCAAGCCTACACTCAGCTGGGGGCTCGGGGCACAGCCTGCCAACGTTTCTCCTGCGTGGGGAGCTCACTCTAAACTGAGCTGAGGACAGGAGCATTGTTTATCAGGGTCCAAAGACAGTCTGGCCGCTGGGGGCACGCATGGAAAAGCTGCTGTGATAGGAACCGCCTACATCTGGCTCCTCCCGCACCAGACCCCACTCAACGTCCAGGCCGGGAATGGAGGAAGACCGAATTTTAAGGGTTATGGGAGAAGGGTGACGTTTTTTCAAGTAATTTGACTTTAAGGTGGATCATCGCAGGCCTTAATAATGCACAATTTTTTTTTTTCTGGAGCATAATTAGTTGGCATGATGTCACAAAAAATGTACAAGTTTTTTCCTCTGCTGGGCAGCTCTGTGGTACTTCATAGGGGTCTTTGACCCACTCTAATCGTGTTAGCTTTACAGAATGCCTCGTTATCCCTCATCTGCAGAAGAGAAAACGATGGCACAGGAATCTATTAGCGAGCTGGATACAGGACAGGAATTGGTTATTTATGCTTCCTTGGTTTTTAATTCACTTAAGAAACCATCTCGGTCCACCAGATGTCAAAATGCAGCTAAAACAAAACACAAACCGCAGGGGGCCGGATCTAAGTGGGACACAGCCCACTCAGCCCTCCAGGGTCGATGGGTGCTCAGCACCTTACAGGCCCCACCCACCTCTTTAACTAACCCGAATCGCCTGTCGTCATCCATCCCTTCCACGGACATCTCTTAGCACAACGCTAAGGGCCAAAGCTGGTCGTGTGCCCCTGCTAACAGCCTGCTGCGTCCTCTTCTCTCCTTTAATCCTTGCTTCCAAATGTACACAAGAATTGACGCGCAGACCTACAGGGTTCTGCTTACTGGTTCGCTTTGACTAAAGTGTAAGCACAATGCCCACATTATCCTGGAATGTGAACTGACTCACTTGTGATAATAAACACCCATCTGCTGGCTAAGTTGAGAAAGCACTGTCCAATTTTAAAGCACTGCGACGACATAAATAACTAAACATAAAAACACACAAAGGCCGGTGTTCGGTCAGCATTCATGGACACCTGAAGGACACCTGAAACTGTTTCTTCCAGGTTCCTGGCAAGGGGCGCTTGTGGGGCGCTCACGCCAGGAATCCCGCCGTGTGCTCTCCACACACCTGGCCCGTCGTCTTCAGAACGCTTGCCACGACGTGTGGCTTAATGAAGTTGAATTGTTCCCTTCACTAGAGTGAGGACACAGAGGCCAAATGGGAGCCCTTTGCTCTAAACCCGGCACGGAGCCAGCCCTTGGCCGGACACACAGGAGGCGCTCAGCACAGACGGACTGCGTCGCTATATTAAAGAGCAAACCAAGGCCAGGGCCCAGGGGAGAGAGTATGGAGCGTTTCCTCGCAGCGCTGGTCGCCCTCTGGAGTCACGTGCTCCATTGCCGGGTCCACACGTCGATCAGCTCCCGCGGCCGGACACCCATTAGAATGGAGCCCTGCGTCCATGCCCGGACGTGCACCGAGCACTTGCCCGGGCAGGTGCTCACGGATGGCTGAGAGAGGGCCCTCCAGCCTCTGACACAGCCTCCTTGCCTCCTTCCCTGTCTACCTGCTCTTGTCTTTCTCCCCCCCCCCCGCCGCCCCGTGCATCCTGGAGCAGCGCCTGGCACGGGGCGGGGGCGGGCCCCTGGGCCGCAGGCAGGGAGAGCGTTGCAGATGCTCCGCTGTCGCAGCGGGAGGAGGAGGGGCCGCAGCCGAGAAACTCCCAGAGGCTGGGAAAGGCGGAGTGTGTGTCCCCCCGCCCTGACCCCCGAGCCCTCCAAGGGACACGGCTGGGCTCACACCTCGATCCTCGCCCACGGAGGCCTGTGTGGGATGTCTGACCTAGGGGACTCTAAGATCATGAATTGGGGCTGTTGTAAGGCCCTAGGTTTGCGAACATTCGTCATGGCGTCCAAAGAAAACGATGCTACATTCAATGACTGTCCGCTTAACGTGCAAATGAACGCAGGAACGAACGAGCACACGCGCTGGGATTCGTAAAAGCGACCCAGAGGAGGAGGTGACCGCGGCACCAGGATTACGCCATCTCCTTTGGAACCATGAAGACCTGGGTTTGAGCCCTGGCTCTGCCGCTCACTGAGACAAGCTACCCAACCTGCTTGAGCCTCAGTCTCCTTGGGTGTAACGTGCAAAATGGGGGTAAACCTATCACCCTCCGGCCCCGAAAGGCTTGAGTGGCACGACACAGGTGAGGTCTCGGCGGAGCGTGGCCCGCGGTGAGTCCTCGCCCACAGCAGGGGCTGAGTCAGGGCCAGGACGCGGGCGCTGACCGCGGGGACGGGACCATTCTGAACGTCTAGGGGGACCACGTCCGTTCTCGT